GAGAAGCAGTACCTGAGTTCCTTGGCCGCCATCCCGAGACAGCGAGATTCCTACAGGCTGCGAAGCCTAGTCCAGAGAGCTTTGCGACGGAGAAGTTCTTCGGTGTGAATGCGTTCAAGCTTGTCAAAAGGGACAAGGTTACTGTGGTGAGGTACAGGATTGTGCCTATCGCCGGAGAAAAACATCTCGACTCCGAGGCACTAAAGGAAAAGTCTGAATTCTACCTGTTCGACGAGTTGAAGCCGCGTTTGCAGTCTGGACCGATTGGATTCAAGCTGTTGGCTCAAGTCGCCGAGGAAGGGGATGTGACGGATGATGCGACGGAAATATGGCCTGAGGCGAGGAGGATTGTAGAGCTAGGCGAGATCCAGATTGAGAAGATGATGGACGACGCGGAGAGCGCGAAGCAGCAGAAGAGCATCATCTTCGATCCTATTCCGCGGATTGATGGGTTACAGCCGAGTGACGATCCGTTGTTGGAGGTGCGTGCTAGTATTTATCTCATTTCGGGAAAGCAGAGGAGATCTGCGGAGGAGCCGGCTAAGGCGGAGGATGCGGTTATTACTGATGCTGCGGTGGCTACTACGTGAGGAGGTTTCTGAGGGCTGGATAGGCGGAAGGTAAACAGGCATGCGTGAAATAAAAGAACTGGAATACGCTCCTTCTTGCGCATGGAATCAATCTTTTTTGTGGTTGAACGACATGTTGTTTGGATCAATGTACCTGAAGACCTCGATTGCTGACGTTTACTTCGGCGACCTGAGTCCATTTGGTTATGTGAAAGCGTCCAATGGAGATTGAAATGGAGTCACGTTCCAGTAGGAGTAGTAGTTCCTTACTGTTCTTGGACCCTCGATCCGGCGCAGGGCTGATATGTAAGGGTGCAGCCATAGCCGCAGCAACAACGGCGAAGTCGTGCATCTGTTTTTGTGCCGAACGTTAACCTAGAATTGAGCGAGTGCCGTGCACAGGCACATAGCCATATATCCGGGACCCTCTAAGAGGGCTATTCTTCCAGCTGGTACTGGGATGGCAGTGTTTATTGGGAACTTAGTCGAATCCGGCGACACTCAGGGTAACCCTAGCAATACTACTGCCATTTTGAGCAACATCGCAAACCCATTTGCCATAGAGCAGCGAACCTCTCGCCGCATGATCTCTCCCTGTCAATTTGGGCGAGTCGGGTATACACCGGTCGACTCGGAATAGTCAGCGCCCTTCGTCGTTGAGTATCGAGATGATCCGTCTCACCGGCAGGGTCGCTGTGGCCGAATTATGTTTCGTTTGCTGATTATGCGATGATCTAAGACTGCTCTTTGTTCTCTTATCTTTCCAAGAAGAGGCTTGACTACTGCGCTGCATATTTCAAGTCAGCTTCGAGGGGTGAAATGCTATTCGCCGGGTAATGGTTAGTGGTGGGTGAAGGAGTTTTGTGATAGGACATCGTAGGCGAGAATGACTTTCCATCATAGATAAAGAGCCACCGCTCTCAGCCTAGTGGAAAATGCTATGTGACCAGACGACTACGTGAGAGGTTGGTGGTGTGTGATGTGTTCCCTAATTGGTTTGCTCAGTAAGCACTCTTTGCGTGTTGAACATCATCATCCTGGAACTGGTGATCGGTAGTCCTAACCAACATCTGAATAGTATTGAGCTAGATCTCTGCTACCAGTCAGTTGGAAATGGTCTTTGCGAGACTGCACATTGCCGATGCCGTAGCATCCGAGACTGTGCCGTAGCCGTGAGGTGATCCGATGTATCTGAACCTTGGAATCTTACATGTCCAGCCTGCGCATACCGTACGCATCTAGCTAGCTGAACTGGAAGACTCTTTGTTCTAGGGCAGGGGGTGCAGGCGCGACCGCAGTTTTGGAGGACGAGGACGTGCAGTGGTAAAGACTGCCGAATGAGATGAAAGTGGAGCTGCGGGGAAGATGACGGGCTGGCTTGGCACGTCCCACGTCGAGGTCTCGACGGCGTGCCTCCCAGATCGCAGACCTCTATTGGTATCATTTTTCTGCTATCGATTCTCTGGCCTCAGCTTTGTGGACTGCAAACAGCCTGCACGCCACCATACAGGGTTCTATTCTCTCGAAAGCCAGTACACAGCAGTTGTTACCAAAAGCAGCGATGGCTTACGGCGACTATGCTCTCCGCAAAACTGGAGGCAGTAGTAAGCTATATACCAGCCTACTTGAGTGTAGGAAAAGGTTGAGTTGTGTATTATCCTAATCCACTTCACGCTATTATTGACCATTCCTGCGCCTCTTGTGCACACCCTGTGGAGCAGATTTACCACGCTACTGCCGTGCACAAAACTTCATTCGCCGGGAGACCGACTTACGAACCGACATATTGACTCAAGTTCATTTCTTGGATCTTTCCTTTCCCCTTGCGGACTCTGTACGACGTTGTGCGTAAGGGTTTCGTTGCGTTCGTCAGCGCGTTGTACACCAAATCTACGAAGCAATCTGCATTCTTACAGGCGAGAGTCTTTTCTCCTAGCTGGGAAGTCAATATTATTTGTCTCGATCACGTTATCCTGCGTTGTCAGTCGATCCGCTTCCAGATTCGAAGGTCTTTCATCCCGTTCATACCGGTTATCCTCCACACTCGACCACGGCCACCCTTGTTGGCCCTTATATCGACTATACTGGCTGTTTGCGCATGGCTCCTCGCTTAAACTGTGCATCTCGTCGGCGAAGTCGTTCGTCGTGATTGCAGGGCCGATACTGTGGCGCTCTCCGGGATATTTCACAAGTACTGCGGCGGTCGGCGGGATCAAATAACTACCAAACACGATTAGTCGCACTCGAGTGAATCCGGGAAATACTTTCAGTATCACTCACACGCTAGAAACGCACCAGATTAAGCCAACCTTGGCGCACACTTCCTTCTCTGCAAAGCACAACACGCTGTCTCGACGACTTCCAGACATGCCTACGCCACTATCACCCCACAAAGACTTTGCGCTTGTCATCGTCACGAGAGCGGCGTCCGGACTTTCCGTCATAGGCTCAACAATCATCATCACTACTTTCGTGTGTTTTCCCTTCTTCAGAAAACGTACGTTGACTTGCTTCGATGCGTTACAAGAGCTGATATAGCGCAGCAATTAACCGTCTGGTATTCTTCGCGACATTCGGGAACATCTTGACGAACATCGCGACTTTGATGTCGATTGCAGTCTTACCAAAGGATTCTGAACCCCCGTCCGGTCTCTGCGAGTTCCAGGGTCTCATGATCCAATGGTTCTTGATCACAGATGCGCTCTTCTGTTTATCAATGGCTACGAATGTATTCCTGGTGTTTTTCTATGGATACGACGCCCAGCAACTTCGCCATTTGGAGAAGTGGTATGTCGTGTGTAGTTATGGGATCCCAGCTTTACCAGTCCTCGTCTACTTCATCTTGGGTAGAACGGGAAACGAGATTATTGGATCAGCAACTCTTTGGTGCTGGGTATCGTCTGACGTCGAGTGGATGCGGATCGCATTTTTCTACGCTCCTACCTGGTAAGTCCAGTCCTCGTCAAGCCAAGCGCACGACTAATTGCGCCAGGATTGTTATCACTACGACTATCAGCATCTACATCATCACCGGCTATCGGATCTGGAGGAAGGGGGCCGAACTGCGCTCCGTTTCTCGAAGCTCGCACCAATATCTAGCCAGAAACTCCTTCACTGCTGCTACCGCGAACCCTATCCCGCATCCTTTTGTGGGTGCAAACAACATCGTGGTGACGACACAAATCAAATGCGACGTCCAGGCAGAGGACGCCATCTCACGCTGTGTCTCTCCCGAGCCCGATCAAAGCTCCATCAATTCGTTTTCGAGCACCCGGTTGCTTTCCTCGCCGAGCAAACACAACGATACGGTGACGGAAACACTGCCAGTTGTGGATGCTTCCCGCACTTCCAGAATACAGATCGAGGATGTTGAAGCGCAGCGACATCCACACAATGGTACAAGAGGTCGAAATGGGTACAGGGCGACCGTCATTGCGACAAGCCCTGCAGAAACCTCGGCAACCCCGACCACATTATTGACAACGCGTCCTGTCGCCAAGCGGACCGCGGAAGGTCATGCTGCAGCAATGGCATACTTCCAGGTCGCCTTCCTCATGTTCGTAGCCTTGCTTGTGGTCTGGCTACCCAGCAGCATCAACCGCATGTACCAGTTCACGCACAGAAACCGCTCGAGCTTCGCTCTCAACATCATCTCCGCGATCGTGTTGCCTCTTCAAGGAGCCTGGAACGCCACAATCTACATCTTCACAACCCGCTCCGAGTGTAGAAGAGCTTGGGGTACGGTCAAATCCAAGCTGACTGGCAGCCCATTCCAACATCATCTGCGACGAGATGCCTATCGCAAGGAAACGATGACGAGCTCTCGCGACACGCAGGACTCTGGTACTGAGATTGCGCTAGATGATTTCCACAAGCACGACGTCCATGTACGTCACGCCGAGATGTCGAATGGCCAAGCCACTGAAGAAGGCAAAGCTCAGCGTCATTCAGAGCCGTGGTGATGCGTCAATTTTCTCCACGTCGTCGTACTACTGTGGCGTTTCAACAGTGCTACGTGGCTCGCGTCAGCTCACTGTGTCTCGAGTCATCGTGCTTTGACCTTTTATATCATCAATTCCTATTTTATCAATGGTTCTCTATTATTGGGTTGCGTGCAGCTTACTGTCATTCCGGGTGTTTCCAAGTATCGGCGGATCATTCGTTTTGGAACTTGAGTTTTCAGTCAGTCATTATCATGATACCCCTAAGTTTTTTGTACGGCGTTATACTAGATCTGGGGCGATCTGGGGCGATCTATTGGGCTCAGGGCACACAGAAGAGGACGGTACAGCCTCAATGGCTCTGGGGAACTTGATTGTACTTGTGTTGCAGCCAGCAGAACGAAGTATGTGCTTGGTTGAAAGTCCTAATATCATTATATATTACGTGGAAGTAATTGAACAGATTCATGAAATCACTGTCTCGCACTCATCATGCCAGAACAACATCCCCATCCTGCGCAACCTCATCCGTAGCCTTACTCCGTGGCACGAGGATACTCCTCAGAATGCAAAGCTGACCGTTATCCGGACAGATCTTCTCCCTGTTCAGCTGCTTGTCCACAGGTCCAGTCGGTCCACCCGAAAACTTAGCCTGACCAAACAGCTTGACTTGTCTCGGATCACTCTCGGGATACTCCTCATCGCCCCATCTGCCCTTGAAGTTCAACCACGCCGTCGGCGCCTGACCATCATAAGCCGAGAAAGCGGACTTTCCGGTGTCGAATTTGTAGAAGTTGGCCGATAGGAGAGGATCCCACATCACACCTCTGTCTGTGTAGTCTTCCAAGACGCCGCCCGGAAGATTGAGGTTGGGGATGGTGTGGTCGTGGGTTCCGGAGATGGCGTAGTTGGCATGCGAGCCTTTAGAGGAGTATGCGATTGGTCTGTCGCCGGTCTTCTCGACGGTGCCGTAGCGGAAGGCTTGCCCGTTTGCGTGCTGAGAGTACCAGATTGCCTCGGGAGAACCGTTTGCGAAGCGGACCATGACGTGTTCCCAGTCGCCTACGTGGTTGCCTTGTTGGACTGTTAGAACTGAACAGTTTCATGGTATGGATGGCGGAAGGACGTACCAAAGTTCAGTTTGCTCCACCCTAGTACCTCGCCGCCGTAGTTGTAGGCGTAGAAGTACATGTAGAAAGCGTCAACGTTGCCATTTCCCTTGTCGTTCACAATGATGGCCGCTGTGGTGGCTCCTTCGGTCTTGCCCTGCGCGTTGGGTTTTGTGCCCTTGATCCATGTAGGATCTTTGGTCACGTCGTCGTTGGATGTGAGCCAGACGTCGCTGCCCATCTGATCGAGGTTGGAAGTAGTTAGGGGCTTTGAAGGACCAGAAACCTCGTTGAACTCCACTCGCGGAGTCGTATGGTTCAGGAATGTTTGTATATCGGTGGGATAGTAGGCATCCTGTGAGTGAAGGTAGACGATGGGCGCTAAAGAGCAGTTAGTCGAATCGGATGTACAATTACAGACAGCGAAGCAAGATCGAGTATCACTGCGTACCATATTTGAGTACATAATCGGGAACGCCATCTGGCGCCTGCCTTTCGTTGAGTGCGAGCGGCGCGCAGCTGACCAAAGATACGGCCATGGTAGCCAGCGCAACAAGCGGTCTGAAAGCCATCGTGTCGTCTTTAGATATATAACGAAGGCAGTGGTTGTGAATGGGATCTGTGTGTGTGTTTGCGACAAGAAACAGCCAGCTGCTGAATCACTGCTTCTCTTATACAAACGCCTACGCCCAGCTGACTACCGAGTCACCCCCTTCACAACCGCATCAGACGAACGGTTTACCCACCCATTCTCCTCCACCAAACCCCATGCGCTAGCGACATACCGTCTATGCATGGCAGACATACTCATACTAATTCGCCTGTGTTCCCAAGCAATAATCAGCTGCCCACGCCAATAGTCGGGGAGGCCGGCACACGTGCGAACACAGTTGATGGGTGACCAAAAGCAAGCGTTCGGTTCGGTTAGAATTGACAGCGGGTGTGGCTTGGATGATTGGTTCTCGAGCGCTAGGGCCCTGATAGCGAGCCGGATGTGGCGATCCGCGCCAGAGGGATGTGCCGACATTGATAGGGTGAAGGCTAAAGTGATCCACGTCTGAAACATGGTGATGTTGAGTATGCACATGCGATAAGTTGCACTGGCAGAACTGATGCAGGGGCTGTGAGAGGGCTTTGGGTAAAATTGCCGGTCGCGCTTGGCAGAACTACGCAGGCGTAGCTGTTGTACAGCTCCATGGGTCATATCCTACAGCCAGTTGCTAGAATACAAAGGTTCGCGCAAACTTGCGATCCATCTCCTCATACTCCTCCTTGAGCATTTTGCTTCTGAGCTTGTTGAGCCGAAGAATGACGCCCTCTTCTTCACCCTCTAGGTTCTCCACATCCTCATCCAGGGCCTTGGTGCCCTTGACCTTCCACACCAGCCCCTTCAGACCTCCACTCTTCGCCTGATCCCGCTTCTCGCGGGCCTCAGCAGCCAAATAAGTCATGATCTTCCCCCACGATTCGAGACCGACCTCCTCGCACTTTTCGCACTTCTTGCGGAGGTCGTCGTTGGCGCGTATGGGTTCGAGCGATTGCGCGAGCTTGGAGGTAGAGACACCATCGCGCACCCATGAGAGGCCCTGTTGGCGTTGACTAGATGAGTTGCCGGCTGTCGCGAAAAGGATCTCGCCAATATAGTTCTTCAAGGCGGCTTCTTCGCAGCGGTCGCTTTCTCTGCGGAGGAGTGGTTCGTCGCCTGAGGGTGGTACCCCTGGATAGTCGGGTTCACGCAGTAAGCTGAACAAAGTACCGATGAGAGTAGAGTCCTTTTGTGCCTGAACCATAGGAAGATGCGCCTCCTGGGCTTCGATACGAGCACGGAGCAGCGAGACGAAGATTGGGAGTGCGGACGAGACTCTTCGTTGTTCCGCTAGAAAGGTAGCGAGGTTTGTCGCCGCGTAGAGGATGTTTGGTGTTACTGCTTCCTTGGGTGCCGTAGACGACAGAATGGCACTGTCTCGGTCGATGACTGTCGAAGGCTCGGGTGTGGGTAGGCCTGCAATAGCAATGTCAAGTGCCCATCTATACATTTCCTCCGCCGAGTCGGGGAGCTTTCTGAAGTTGAGCCAGTCGGCATAGCTCAGCGCAGCTGATAGCCGTTGATATGTTGTAAACCCCTTGGAGGTGATGACCTTGAGGTAGAACGTCTCTGGTGCTTCCGCCGCGGGAAAGCGATGTTCCTCATCTGGTGGCTCGGGCATGCCAGGAAGAACAGCTTTCGGTCGTGGATTCGAGGGCGATTGAATGAATTCTGGCGCCCACACGTTTCTCCTCCACTTGTCCGTCACCCATCCATCTAACCTCTCTGCAGCATTACCCATGCCCATCAAGACTTCGTAGTACCCTTGTCGCCACTCCTCGCTCTTGGCCGTCAGATCGAAGCCTGCCTTGCCTACGCCAGGCACCATAATCCCTCCCTCTTCCTGGTCAAATAAACCCGCGCCATCCTTGTTCGGGTGTTCCAATCGGTTCAGCGCATATTCCAGCTCTGAGTAGACCCGCGCCCAGTTGGGGAAACCCTCTTCCTCGTTGTTTTCGGGCACCTGCCACCACTTTCCTCGCCGGAACCTGAATCGTGTAATCAGACTCCATTCATGCGGCGACGGAAACGCCCGCTCTTGCTGCTCGCTCAATATGCCCAGACTTGCGATACTGACGCATGATGAGAGGAGGAAGATGAGGATGCTGTATCGCACACTCAATTTCGCCGTCTCCTTTATGAATTTCTTGTGGTTGGCGCTAATGGAGAACAGACGTTGTAGTTGGCCATTGGAGAGGTGCTGGCCCGAGGGATATAGGAACGGTAGCTGTGGCCGGGGCGAGCCCTGGTGCGCGACGAGGAATTGGCGGGGATGTTTGTTCGAGAATTGGCGTGGACATGGGCGGTCAGAGGTACGCGATGTCGGAGGCCTCAGCGAGCCGTGTGGGAGCTTTGCTCGATGCGCCGGGGGCCGCATGATGCTTTGCGACTGCAATTCTGTCGCTTGAGGGGTGCATCGATGCCGTAGTTCACGCGCCAAGACAATCTTGCGCGACCGCCCGGCAGAAAAAGTTCAGGATCTCCATTCTCGTTTCGCGACGCTCCTACAGATCTACACCATTTTTGCGCGCCCACCATGTCCAAATCTAAAATTGACACCCCCGAGAAGAAGCGCAAGCGCGACGCCGAGGCAGCAGAAGATGCGCCGAAGAAGTCCAAAAAATCCAAGAAGACAGACAATGTCCAGGATGCGCCTGAAGTCGAAGCGACCGAGGTGAAGAAAGAAAAGAAAGACAAGAAGGATAAGAAGTCTAAGAAGTCCAAGGGCAATGTCGACACATCGGCCGTCGAGGACGCCTTAGAAGACGCAAAGAAGGAGAAGAAGGAAAAGAAATCGAAAAAGTCCAAGAAGTCCAAGGATGCGGATGTCTCTGAGGATGCGCAGGAGGCTGATCTTATCGATGAGATGAAGTCCTCGGAGAACTTCATCAGCGTCAACGATGACGAGCCAATGCCCGATGCCAGCGAAGATGCGCCTGCGAAGAAGGAAAAGAAGTCCAAGAAAGAGAAGAAGGACAAGAAGTCGAAGAAGAGCAAAGACGCTGCCGCATCTGAGGACACACCTATGAAAGACGCAGCTGAGGAACAGAATGGCGTAGCTAAAGACACACCAGCAGAGACAAACGGCGCAGACTCTGACTCCAAGGCTGCTAAGAAGGAGAAGAAGAAAGAGAAGAAGGAGAAGAAGGAGAAGAAGGAGAAAAAAGAGAAGAAGGCAAAGAAGGCGGCAGAAGCAGAGACCAATGGCGAAACCTCTACTGAAGAGCCCAAAGCCGAGACCAACGGTGAAGCCTCTGCAGAGGACATAGATGCAGACATCGAGGGTGGCGCCGAAGTCGAGGTAGAGGGAGAGGAAGCCCAAGCCGCAGTCGAGGCTAACAAGGGCCGCTTCATCGTCTTCGTCGGTACGTCTTGTGCACATTCCGATCTATCATACCCATCTGACATACAACTTCAGGCAACCTTCCCTACAGTGCTACGAAAGAGCAAATCGAGAAGCATTTCGAAAAGATCAAGCCCACCGACATCCGTCTCCGTACATACAAGGGCACTGAGAAGTTCATGGGCACCTGCTTCATCGAATTCGACCGCTACGACCGTATGGTGACGTGCTTGAAGAAGTACCACCACTCCCTCTTCGCCGACCCCAAGAAGAAGGAGGGAAGGAAGATCAATGTTGAGCTGAGGTAAGATTTGAATCCTCTGGGTCTTCTACGCGCATCCCTGGTCCCCTACCACCCAACACAAAGTAATAGAACACATACTAACACCACCCAACAGCGCAGGAGGTGGCGGCAACAGCGAAGCCCGCAAGTCCAAAATCTCCGCCAAGAACGAGAAGCTCCACGACGAGCGTGCCCGCGACCGCGTCAAGAAGACGGAACTCGAAATGAAGCAGAGCGAACGCAAGGCGAAGAAGGAGGCCAAGTCGGGCAAGAAGGACGGCGATGACGCCGAGACTGGAGAGGAGGCTGCTGCAGCAGACGAGCCCTCTGAGGCCGCTACGTTTGGCATGAACCCTGCGCGGTTGGCTATGATGCAGGGTCCTGAGCGACCGCAGCATAGGTCGAGATATTGAGGACTGGATTTACAGTGAGGATGGGGGTAATGTACGAGGTGATTTGCTGCGATTTATCCGTTGGTTATATGAGCGGACTTGTACGTGATTTGGCCTTCACCATCTGGCCTCATCTCAGGATAACACAGCTTTAGAGCTTTGACATCATCGAAGTTAGAAGCTTTAAGTTTTGGATTCGCGTCTTTGCTCTCTCTTTTGCCAAAATATGTTTATTGTTATGGATGCAGCTCTATCGCTGGGTAAGATGGTAGTCTAAGGAGTGACTCAAGAATCGAAATGGGTCGTGAATCAACGCGCTCAAAACATAGTCCCTGCACAAGGAGTGTACCGCAGTTGGAGCTTGCGTCGCAATCAGTCGAGTTCATCGGTCCTGCTAGCTGCATTGCTAGTTTCCTTTATGCGCGAAAGATCAAGGCTTAGTAGCCGTCGCCATAGCCCCCCTTGGACGTTGTGCAGACCGTGGTGGTGCCAGTAGTGATGTACGTGGTTGGCTTCTTCGCAGTCTCCGTGACGACAGACCCGGTGGTCTTTGAGCTTGTGATGGTCTCCTTAGCAGTGGAGACGCTGGTCTTGTAGGAAGTTCCGGTGGAGCTATATGCGTGTCAGCCAGTAGAACACCCGGAGCAGTAGCGGTCGTATACTTACACAACTGGCACGGTCTCAACCTTGGTAGCAGACTTGACTTCGCTCTCTACCTTGGTGTTGTAGATGGTAGTCACAGTCGAGTAGGTCTTGGTGGTCAGATAGGTAGTGAGTTGCGTGACCGTCTTGGTGCTGGTGCCGGTAGTGGTGTATGGGTAAGGTGCTGTGACGGTCGAGAGCTTCTCAGTAACAGTGGTGACAGGAATGACCACAGTCTTGGTAGACAAATAGGTGGTCTTGCCCTCCCCGACGCTGGAGCTGACGTATGTGGCTGAGAAAAGTCAATTCAAGATCACAGGAAGCTACATGTAAGCACTTACACGGAGTGCAGATTGTTGTCTCTTTGGGAGGAGGCGCAGACGAAGTCTTTGGAGGGGGCACGTATGCGCTGGAAGAAGACTTGGGAGGCACTGCGGAGTAACCGGGGAAAGCAGCTGCGAGAGAAGCTGAAGCAGCGAGCGCGAAGAGATTCTTGAAGAGCATCTTGGGCTAAAGACTTGGGTGATCAAGAGTGAAGGTAAAGCAATTGACGACAGATTTCGACTTGTAGCGAAAGAGTATCGACTGGACTGTTGCAGACTGTGAAGGCTGATGATGCTTTCAAAGCGCGACTATAGGGTTACTTTATACTCGAGCCTAGGTTCTCAACATACACATAACCGACGCATCGTTGTCATTCTGTGCGGAGAAACGAGGCAGAGTCGTTCTCTGGTGGCCCGGATGATCGACGAAGCGATCCGTAGTACCTTGCACTTCTCGCACGATGGCTTAGAAGAAGATACACCGCGGGCCTCGTACAGCAGGTAGAGTATCAAATGACAAAAATAGGTCAAGCATGTCGATGCGGGTCCAGATCAAGTCGTCCCATGGAAGCATGCATGCATGCAGTTGCCACGCTACCAGTATCCACGAGTGCACCAGTCTAATGACTAACGAAGGGAATGCATCTAGTATGTGTACGCAAGCCATGAAAAGCGATGAGTGGGGGAGTAGACTGTGAGCCAACCGGATCTTCTGGTGTGGAGAAGAGAATTGGAAGCGCACTTGGCAAAAGTCTTTCTCTCATGGACTTGATGATGACCGAGAAACGTAAATCGTCGGTACCAACGACCCGGATAGCTGACGAGCATCTCTATGACTTGGAAGTACGAAATGATGCTCAGCTGTGTATCCAGGACCTGTACATCGAAGCACGTGTCGAATCAACGTGCTGTACGTCACGCACGTTTGTCCACTGGGTACCCTGGTGGTTCCAAGCAAGAGTCCCAGGAACCCGGAAACATCTGAGGTGGCAAAAAGCCGGGGAAGCGTAAGCTGAGTGTGTTGGTCGGGAACTAATAGTTAGTCGTCGGGTGTACCTGACGCGTATCACTGCATACTGCAGGTTGATATCGAATCTTCTTCTCGCCCGGTTTTAGTGAGGGGAAAGATGCGCAATACGAGGGAGGTGCGGCTGGAGCAATCAGCAGCTCTTGCTTGAAGGCGTCATTCGCAATATGCGCGTCTGATCGAGCACTTTGTCATGGCGAAAGCTTGTTTGTACATGACAGGGCATTGATGCGGTGGGTGAAGAGGGGTTCAGCCATTGTGGGGAATCTGGGCGCACGGCCCGAGACCCACCGACGCCGGTTTGCATCGCAACTTTTCTGTAACGGGCTGACGAAGATGTTTGCCCGGCCATTGCCTTCTCACGCCACGCCTTTGGCTAATAACACACTCGCTCCGGGTATTTCCGCGACGCCGCCTCGACTGTACGACTCTCGGCAAGCCCAAAATCCCCTCCACTGTCAGCAGAGACACGCTCGGGGGTCCGCAACGTCCGCAACGAATTCGGCATGCAACGCTAGTCCTGCAGTCACCCGACAGATTACCCCAGAATACTTGCAGTACGGCTCGAGAGGTTTATGGAAGCTGTCCAGAAGATTCCGATCTTGCGAATGATGTCCCGTCCAACGGCAGCGCCGGTCAACCCCCCTTCACGGCCGGCTGAAAGCACATACGAAGGCACGCCCATTACGTCTTCACGATCATTACGCCAGCTTTCGGTATACTTCCTCGGAAGCGTCTGCTTACTGGCCTCGACCGCAATAACGCGCAAGGCCGTATGGAGGCGGCAGCTCCGTGTCATGCCAAAGTTTTACGAAGCGAACACGAACCCGCACGAATACTTCAGTCCCTTCTCAGATGCCTGCCAGGCTTTGAACCTGGCCACGATGAACTGCGCCAGTGTTGGCATCATGGCGCTGGGTGGCGCAATGTGGACCTTTGATATTGCCAATTTGAGAGAAGCTCGCGCAGTTCTACGAGGCCGCTTGAACTACGATCGGATATACCAGTCCGAGGATGATGTACCGAATACCATCAGCGAGATGATAGCAGCATCTGGCCAAATGCGAATAATAGAGGAGGACGAGAAGGACGGTTCTGGCAAGAACCAATAACGACCGTTAACGTGTACAAGTACGACTGTAAGATTAGTGTATACAACAGGAAGGCTGAGTGCCTAGTAGCTGCACATGGTAGCACAAGCACGGCGCGCTCGGAGTGCCTCATCGGAGCGACATTTGCAATCGAGGCACATCATTCTGCGCCCACTAGTACAACCCCGCCTCTATGTCAAGTCGAGACCCTCAACACTGTCGACGTGTCGTAGATTATGTAGGCTACCTGATGCTAATGCACCATGTGCAGAACGCCTCACCAGATTGTTGAGAACGACGGCGTTGTCCTCCGATCGGTTGCATTAGAGGCACGCGGTTGTCAATTCGAGGGGAAGCCTCGAGTGTTGAACTAGTTCGCTATGCTTTCTGGTACGCTCCAAAGTTAGTTGGAACGACTACCCGGAAGGGTCCCACAACATAAGCTGAGTGCAATGTCTATGATCGGCGTCTCACCGCGACAATGTCCAGTCTCAATCATGTCTCAGCCAAAAACGGGTTGTGATGGGCAGCTACAACACGGCGTTGGGACACATGCTATCTAGATGCAGCGTGGTCTGACATCACGTTGATGTTCAGAGCCGCACTAGTGGTAAGGATCTTTCTGCCAATGGCATCTCTTCTAGACTAGATGGAACCAGCAATGTAGCTGCAAACAAAGATATAAGTGCAAGTGTCTAGGCAAGTCCCAATGCGGCATATATAGCCAGTGACTTAAATCATATTCATCTTCACGACATACGTCGTAAGCTCGAAATGAGGAATAGTACAATAGTACTCTATGCAAGGCGTTTTTAACGTACATACGCAGCATAAGCTTACAAAGCCCACTTTTCACTGCGCTTCATAGCCTTGGCACTAAACATGCTTCGCCTCGAAGTTGGTCCCCAAAATCGGTCTTATGTCACGAACTGAACATATACCGTTCAGCATGTCACACTGCAGTATATCTATGTCGAGAGACCCGGGAGCTCAGCAAACTTCCCCATCCGGCGACCATCTTGCAAATCCTCGTTTACTTTGGCGTTCTCCCCACCCCTACTTCGTGCCATCCTCTACCTTCACACCTTTCTGCCCATCCCTATTCGCCCTCCAAACTCCCTCCCCACCTTCAAACTTTTCCAGCTTCCATATCTCGGCTTTGTCCTTTGTCTCTTCCAATGTCTCCTCACCCGCTCTCCACGCGGCCTGTCGATGTGGTGCTGAAACCGCAATAACAATACTCTCTTCCCCAATCGGACATTCACCCAACTTGTGAATGATGGCGATCTTGGTGCATGCGTGTTTTGTGAGGATAGAAGTAGCGATCTTGAACAGGGTTGAAATGGCAAGTGGGGCGTAGGAAGTGTAGGCTAAAGAGGAAACAGGTTCGTTGTTGAATGAGTCGCGCGTTGTGCCTATGAATAAGACTGTTGCACCTGCTGTTGGTGATCTGACGAATTTGGTTGCTGACAGGGAGTCTAGGTTGTGCGGGGTGAGTTCGACGTGGATGGTGTCCGTGGTCTTGGTAACAGGGTCCGAGGGAATGTCTGCATTGTAGGATTGTGATTCCGTAGTGGCCATGCTGATGGGGACGCGAAAGTCTTGTATTTGGCTGCTGTACGATAAGCTGTTATCCGAGAAATAGTGTGTACACGGATCAGAGCATGGGGTCAGAAGAGATGATTCCCGCCGTTGTCGATTTACTTTCACATCGTCGATATATATTCAACGGGAGCACTCACTTTTATGCAATCGTGAAAGGGTAGCGGGTTCGAAGAAACCTCTGATCCTTCAAAGTTTGAGTGATTTCCCTTCTCTTGAAATCGTGTTGGTGAAATGTCGAAGATGCCGTCATAGCAGCGCGGGACAATGCTTTAGCGCCGATCAACGACGTGCACCTCACACGTGGAGCGTTAACTCCGGCCCCGCCCCTACCAA